ACCACCGCCCCATTCTCCAAGCAAGAAACTGGACACATTATGTTGCTCCAGCCATTCGCCGCGACTACCGGAACCCCTCACGCACCCCCCTAAAGAAATACTTCGTGCAGTTTCTCCAGTTCCAGCGAGCAGTTGCGGCAAGCCCCCCTACGCTGGCGGAGAGAGATCGACTCAGGAGGCTATCTCGAGTGCTGGCGGGGCTCAGGGCTTCCACTGAGGCTTGCATGGCGGACGTGCATGCCAGAGCGGCCACGCTGATGGAGATACTCACTCCCTCGCAGACGGTGCGGTTGATTTTTTTCGTGCGCAAGCGCCTCCTTGTTGTGTATCGAGTCAGTTGTGCTCCGCGCCCTCCCTATCGGGGAGCGGGGGCTGTGGCCTAGAAAAGTTAGAACCCTTCATGTGTAAATAAAAAAAAAAAGAGAAAAGCCCGGGTGTGTTTACCCCCCTCCTGTGTGACTCTGGATGTAGTTGTACGAAAAAATTCACTGAAAAGTGTAGTACACGTCTCACCACGACAAGCGGTGGGACTGTCGCCATAATAATAAAATAGGACGAAAGAAAAGAAATGTCTGACGTGTTTTTGATGGGTCGGCGTTGTGAGCACGGGGTAGTTTGGTGTTGCACGACTGACGCGGTTGCTTGTGCACCGTAAAGGAAGGGAGTGCTTTGTTGCCAATGCGCGGGGCCTCCTCCTGTCTCTGCGTGTGGAACACAACGACACAGGTGCGATATCTGGGCTGGGTGGCGAGAACAGCGGGGGACCCCGCAGATTGTCCGACGACGCTTCCTTCCCTGACCAGCCTCTTGGCCGGTGCCGCTGATACTTGTGCTTCCACCGATACTCCCTCTACTGCCGCTACCGCCGCCCGACCTGTGCCACGATCACCACCGGCGACCTTGCGATCCGGGGGGGGGAAGGGTATTGACAACAGCGGGGAGAGGGGAGAAGTGTTACGGCTGTGGCGCAAGCGAAACGAAAACTTGACGCTAGAGGAGATGGAGTGGTGAGTTGCTTGTGAACTAACCGTGCGCCCTCTAGGGTGTGAGTCTGCCCGGTGTTTTTCGCGAATAAATTTCCACTCGCCCCCATGCTTCTTGAAGTGTTCTTCATGGTCAAGTTCTTTGATTGATTTCGTTCTTCTTTTTGAGCCTGGATTTCTTCGCTCCCAGCTTCTTGAAAGTCGTGGCGCCTTTACCGTACATTAGCCGACGGGGATTGGGGAACGGTTTCATTTGAGAAAACAACAGTCATTCGTGAGACTACTTTGTGTGGAATAATAAACCGAAGAATAAAATCCCCCCCCTCCCGCCGCCCCCACCGGCTGTTTGTTTTTCGTGCGCGCGCAGGTTAGTGCTCTGGGTTAGACGTACGCAAAGTACGCGGCGGCAGCGACAGCAACAGTCACGAAGAAGATAATGCAGCGGCGGCGTCAGGACTATTGGAAGCGACATGAATATTGGCCAATCAGAAAATTGCGGGCCATCTTCTCTCTCTCTCTTGAGTAGCACCGGCACGGGCAGTGATATGTGCGTGTGATTTGCAGTTCGTGCAAGCTATACTGCACTAGGAGGGAGGATGTATACCATGCGGGATTTTGTCGCTTCCTTGGGAGAAATAGTAGTAGAGAAGTAGCAATCCGAAAACAACGTCTGGAAACGTTTTCTGTCCGATCAGCTTTAGGCTGCGTGAGCCATGCAAACGCGGAAAATAATTTGTCATCAGGTGGTGTAAATGTTTTTTGTGGCTGTTGGTGTTGTCGTTGCAAATTACTACTGTTTGTTTCGTGAGAGACAGCTGTGTTGTTTCGTGACAGCCAACTGCTCGCTGTGTCGTGTGCAAAACCCCGGAGGGGTGGGAGGCGGACAAGGTGTAAAAAAGGTTGCTCATTGTCGTGTTTGTCGTATGATAACCGTTGTTGTTCAGATGATAACCGTTGTTGTTCAGATCGCGTCTCAGCTGTTGTGACGAAACGTCATCCTATTCACCGACGAAACGTCATCCTATTCACCGACGTTTTTTTTTTTTGTCAGTTTTATGGCCCAACGAATCCATCTCTTATCGAAAATAATCTCAAGATAGATTAGCAATGGATCCATAGCATCAGCGAAAGTTCTGTTTTTCCACGATTTCCCGAGCAGCACACAGCGATACCTCCCCTGTGGGTAACAGGATCGACAAGATTGCTTGGTAGCCATCTCATGCATCTCTGTGTGTATGCTTTGCTGGGAAGGTGTAGAAGGAAGGTGTTGCGACCGTTCCTTCCGCCTCGGCGGAACAAAGTATCATTTTTCCCACACTCCGTTTCGTAAAGTATGGGGAGGGTTCTCTCACTACGGCTGTGAAGCAGCAGGTCGCACGTGTGACCTATCCCATGCAAACACGTCCCACCTGCGAAAACGGCACCGAGCCCATTCGCCCAGGTCTCGCTGACCTGTCGGGCGTGTTGGCATGGGCGGTGTGAGTCTGACCGTAGCTCACACCATGCACTTCCATGTAGTGTCTACACCAATGACCTATATAGAGAGTCTTACTATGGGTGGGCAAGGGTACGTGATTTTTCCCGAGACAGGGTTGCGCAGGTAATTAGTGCGGAAGCGCGCGGGAGGACCACCGTAGCATAATATTCGATTTGTTGGCCAGGACTTTTGGGTGGGTGCTTCATGGCACTAAATAATGTAAAATTATTGTTTTGGCTCGTGCTTGACTGTCGTCCGTGTCGTACGGTGCGAGAGCAGGCACTGGGTACCCTAGAAAAAAATGGATGAGTGAACGTGTTCGCCAGGTTGTGTGGCTTTCAAGCAAGATCGATTTTCCAGCAAGCAGCCCCGGCGTTCTGGTCCACATCGTCTGGTCTGTTTGTTTGGTTGCCGAAGGGAGAACGAGACAAAAACTGGTCCGAAAGTGAGATGTTCGGCTGTACTGTGCGGTTCGGCAATACCCTTCTCGAAGGCAAGCACCACAGGGGTCCAACGTGGAGAAAAACCGAAGGACGAAAGAACGGTGCGGCTTCTTCCTCCTTTGTGGCGCGGCTGGCTGATGCAGGGCTGTGGGTGACCTCTTGTCCGATGTCTAAGGCTTTCGCGCCCTCTGATTGGTCGATGGAGCGGTCTTTTACCCTCCAACGCCGCTCTCTCTGTTCCGCATTCCGAGAACGACATGGCTTTACGCCCTCTGATTGGTCCAGCGGTATTTTACCTCCCAGCGCCCGCTCTCTGTTCCGCATTCCGAGAGCGCCGCGTGCTCGCCCAGTTTTCGGCCGCCAGGCCGTCCATCGGCGGTGGGTGAGGGTTAGGGCTAGGGTTTGGTCGGCCACCGTGTTGAGACACATCCTGGGCACAAAAAAAAACACAGAAAGTGTGAGTCTGAAGCGGACGGAACGCCAATCCCACATTTATCGATTGTGATTGGTCGGTACTGATTCGCTGAAGTTAGTCATGGCATTTGTGCCCAAATCCGACCAAAATACCTCGAGACCGACCGTCTGATACGCCAGCGACTCGAGAGAGAAGCACAGGTGCCGTCGATTGGTTGGTAGCACATCAACCGGAATGAAACACAGGAGGAAGCAACAACAACGCAGGTAGATCTGCGTCCATCCCTCACACTGACACCCGAAAACATCAACATATATTACGCTGTATGTGAGCTGTTGTGTCGTACACAGCGATGTTTTTCTAACGGCCCTAGGGGAGAGTGGAAACAGATTCCTCGCCTGGCAACAACGAAGATTGTCCGGAATACCCGGCCCATTCAATCCAGTGCGAAGACACACACGAAATCTACATAACGTATGCACACGTGCTATCCTCCTCTCTCTCTAGACTGGTATTTTTTTTCTCTCTAGATATCGTTCTTCTCTTCAGATATCTTTTTTCTCTCCAGACTAATCAAGTACGGTCAGACTGGTTGCTTCTTCACCAAGCCGTGCATAACACTAGCCCCCTTCCGGGTTCGACAAAACAAAACCGCCGGACTTCCTTATGATTCGTACTCAGTACATGGACGCTCACGCTTCTAGGAGGGCAAGGTTTCGTATTATAATAGTTTCCCGCCCATCAGACGGGGGCTTGAACTCGGAGTAACGCCGAGATCCACGAATGGCTGACCACCGCCCCCACACTGCAAGCGAGCCGTCTGTGATGTCGCTGCACGCCGCACACGCTGTCGAACGACGGCGCTCCGATTCGGAATGCAGCATGAATTGCTTCAAGGGAACTTTGTGAATTCCCAGACCTTCTGCGCGATCGGGATGCCAGTGAAAATCTGCCCGCGTAATTTAGACCAAAAACGTGTGCAGGAAAAGAAGCACGCGAAAGGGTGCAGAAGTATACGTCCGTGGAACGGACGAGCGACGAGGGGAGGGGGTGAGATCGGATGAGGAAATGAAGGGGGGGGGGGGGGCCGTGGCATGCAGGTGTCACACGCGTATGCATGCTCCCCGGATTCATAAGACTGAAATGTCCACTTCCCTCCCCTAGCAAAAACAAAACTTGCGCCCTCAGGAGGGGGGAGCGAACCCCGCAGACTATTGTATGTTCTCGAAATAGCGTACATGAAAACGTGGGCCTTTGGGAACATCATATAAAAAAAAATTCAGAAAAACAAAATACGCTGCGTCGACCCTGTTGTCTTTTTTTTCACACTTGGGCGTCACGGCAAAGCTGGCACTGTTTTTCGTGGCCCCACCCCCCCCCAAAGTCTTCTTGGTCGATGTTATGTCGTCCAGCAACCTTCGCCGTAGAGTTTAAACGCAACTTCCAAGGGCTGCCTCTTGAAGGAACCGGTTGCAGCTTCGTAACGTGTGCTTGAGCTCCCGGTCCGCCTGGGCGACTCTGGCCTTTGCCTCCCCTGAAAACGCCTCCGCAGCAGTGGCAGCAACACCTATACCCCCAAGCACACCTTGAAACGAAAACACACACAAAAAGCAGTGTATCGAAACAACCATGTACCGCCCCCGCCCCCCCGCTGCGCGCACGCCTCCATCTCAACCACCGTGTCTCCTCCCAACCACTCTCACAGCACCTAGCCCTCCCCCCCCCGCAAATATCCCGAGAAAACATAACTCGAAACAATGCACAAAAAATGGATGGGTGCTGTCACACGCACACGCACGCGCACGCACCTGCCACGCGAAGAGGGCGATCATGCCGAAGTTGATGGCCATGTGCGCGATCCTAGCCGTGTCGTCCCCCTTCTGCATCTTCGGCACCAGAGACGCCGCCACCGCCCACGCCACCACCACCGCGGCCCCGGCGTACAGGTGGGGCCCCGGGAAGAGCTTCTGCGCCCTAAGGTACGTGTTGACGGGCCCCTCGACGGCGGCGAACGTCCCGAGCCCGAGCAGCAGCGCGCCGGCGTCGTAGTGACGGTCGCGTACCTACAAGGGGGTGGGGGTGCTCATGTAAATGCAGGTTAGAGCATTGCCTAAAGGGGGACGGAGCGATATGATTTCGTCGGCCCAGGATACCGTTCAAAAGGATGAACCAAACGCTGGTCGTCGTCCTTACAGCAAAGGGATTGGTTAATGGTCTGGGGGGAGGCATGCGGTACAACAAAATGAAAACCTAAACGTAAGGATGTAGGTGGGACAGCGAAGCGTACAATCTACCCAGGTGGGCGTGGCGGCGGCCGACGGGTAGTGATGTGGAAGTTGGGGAGGAAGGGGCGACCTGATCGCGGTCAGCATTGTCATGAGTACGGGTAGCGTTACGACCGCGGAGTCGAGAAAGTCAAAACATGCATCAAAAACGCAGGCAACTCTTTTTCTTATCGGTGTCGAATTTTTTGGGAGACGCGGGTCGGGATTTGTGCAAGAGAGGTGTGTGGCAGGGGGTGAGGCGCAAAAAAACAAAAAAACAACACAAGCAATCTTCGGTGTGGTAGGGTGTAAATGCTGACCGCAGTGGTTTTTCGAAAAAAATTGTCTCATCCCCTCGCTCCATCTGGTCCATGTCGTCTTCCTGGCGATATACCCTGTGTGCACGAAAACACGGTGCCCCGACCGGGCGGAATCGTCCCCTAAGCTTAGCTCTCCCCGACGCCTCGGACCGTCCAAGTCTCTGAGTCCTCTGTGTTTACTCACGAAGCCCCAACCTCTCTCCTATCAGTCGGGGAATTTCTCCTCGTTTTTTCGAGAAAATTATATTTCACCCTTTCTCGTCGCTTTACTTCCTACCCGCCGTTTTTCTTCTTTCACAACCTTCTCCGAAAGATCGACCCTCTACCCGCCAGCCAGCCGCAAGCTCTCCACCAGGAACGCTCCAATCCATCCCTCCTGCTTTCTCCCTTTGCAACCGCCTCAATCATGTTCTCCGCTGTGTTCCCTCTCCCCCGTCCCATGTTAGCATGCGCCCACGCCGCTCCCCTCCTCTTCCGCATCGGTGCTCCGAGCGAAGACTCAGTTGCTGCCACATATTCGCCGGCTCCCCCTCCATTTAGCAGAGCTCCATCGACCAGTCTTCCCCCCATGTGCTCGTCCATGTTCACGTCGTCCTCCTCCGTGTTGCCCGCATGCCGCAACCCCTTTGCCCTCCTCCCCATCACCGAGGCCGTCTTTCCGTCCCCATCTGGCTGTCGGTGTGTGTTTACGTTTCTGTGGCTATCTGTGTGTCTCATTCTAGCTTGGAAGTGACCGCGCTCTCTAGCTGACCAATGAAAATACCTCAGCCTGGAATAGGGCCATCAATAAACGCGCCAGCCTTCCAGCCTATGTCCGCGCTATCCGGCTGACCAGTGAAACTATATCAGTCTTGAAAAAAATTGGACCAGTCTTAATAATAGCGCCATCAAAGAGGCGGACACGCCTTCCCCCCTTTGCCTGTGTCTTTTAAACATCAGCATCGACCGCGCTACCCGGCTGACCGATGAAAAGGTGTCAGCGTCCACCGGGAAAACCAAGGTGCCTGGGAGGTCTGTGTTTGGTGTCTGTACCCACCCACCCCCCTGCCTCGCACCACATCTTTCTCCGTGTTTTCCTCACGTTCTTTTTCGAGAGCTCTTTCCGCCGGGCGCCCATGTCGTTCAGCTCCTGCTCAATCTCCACTGCCGCAGACGAGGAGAGCTTCGCAAGGTCCGCCTTCAGGCTCGCCGCCGCCTGCTCCCACAAAAACAAAAAACATAATAATGGAAAAGCTGCTCTGGGCATCAGCCTAAGAGAGAACGAGACGGAGCAACCGAAAATCGTCGCCGGCGGCAGTCAGTAGTCTACGCAGGTTTTGTCACGAAAGCAAGGATACTGGATAAAGCATAGAATCGGCAGAGTTGAAGGTGAGGGTGAGGGTGAGGGTCAGGGTCAGGGTCTGCGTATCCCCTTCCTGGTCTTTTTTTCGTGATATCCTTGCTTTCTACGCGTAGGCCCCTCCACAGCAGTTATAACCTAATTCGCATTTATTTTTATCACCTCGGCTGCGTCCTCTCCCAGCTCCTCCAGTTTCGAGCGGATGCCGTCCGCTTCCTTCTGCAGGGGGGTCGACGCTCGCGACCCGGAGGACAACACCGGCAGTTGCTCCTTAAGAGTGCTGATAGAACAACGGGAAACCGGGGGGGGGGGGGGCGTGTACTGTGGCTGCATATGGGGCGTACGGTACCTGTCTACCTGCTACAGCAGCATTACCGTTACACATGGACTGACAACGTCGTATTGTTTCACAGCCAATATCATCACGATCAGGGGGTTTGGCTTCATCCGTTCTTGTCTCCTGCTGCACATGCAGCTCGAGGTCAATTGAAAAGAGCTCCGTATCAAGCTAAAGGGGGGCGAGCGATGATCGAAAAGTTACTGAAACGCATAGGAAAGGATAGGGTAAGCCATGACGGAGATGCCTAGCCTGGAGGACACGCTGGGCTTGATTTACTTGGTACATACACCTTCCTCGATGACGCGAAAAAACGCCATTTCTGCGACTGGACACGGCCTCCTAGACCAGGGGAAACGGGGGGCGGTAACCGAAATGAGAGAGTTCTCTACACCGTGGCGGAATGCCGCCCGTCCACCACGAAGCGCTCGTCCACCCCGTCTGGCGCCCCGCTCTCGCTGCTGTACATCGTGACCAACGAAAATTCAACAAAAAGGGCCCGCCTTCAACCTCACCACCACGACCAACAGCAGCAGAGCACAAATGTCGACGACAGCACCGATGACGTTGTCCTGTGGATTGATCGACCGTACGGAGGGAGCTATACCGCTGAAAGCCTCTCTCACCTCATTCTTCCGCCCATGGTACGCTGCTCCCGCCACTCCAGCCCCAGCTTGGCGGAGCGCAGGCTCACGGCGAACATGGTGCCCTGAAAAATCGACCACCGTCCACGAAAATACATGCAGCAGGCGGGGCAACTATTTTAGTGCCGGTTGAATAGTGTCGGTGCCCCGATATTGTGACGTTTTTTTCGGCTGGCATAGACTGAAATCACCAGGTCGATTCTGTGTTATGAATAGTACCGGTCATTTCTCTCTGGGCATATACCGGCACTGAACAGCCCCCCCCCGCCTCACACTATACCATAACACAGGTGTACAAAAAATGAGCCAACGGCGGCGAGTTGTCGCATACGGCGGAACACGTTCCATCCCGCGTTCCACACCATTTTCCGGCAAGCCACAACCCGGTGGAAATGGTACCGTGACTCAAAACACGCCTGAAAGATTGCAAACCTCTAATTCCACAAGTCTAGATGGAGATCCCATTGCCGCGAGGTTCATCTTGCGGTGCCTCCCCCGATTCCTCCAGCCCCGCGACTGCACATGGCTCCTTTCCCCCCCTCTACCATAAAAAATGCATAGCTCAATGGTTGCCAAGATCGACCGCCGTCTGCTCACAGCATCACCCCGCCCCTGAACCCGCCTGCAACAGTCTGCCCTTCCCTTGAACCTCCCTCATCGCTCGTTCCAACCAAGCACGCGGCGCAAGACCACACCAAAGGCCGCCACCCTCCCAGCGGACACTTTGCCCTAACTAGTTCCTCACCATGACGATGGGGTGGAAAAACGACGCCGACCTTCCCTCGATGATCCCGAACTCGCCCCCCTTCGCGCTGGCCTCCGCCGCGCCCAGCACCAGGGGGGTGAGAGCGGCCGCGCCCGCCCCGGCGACTGAGCGCAAGTTCAAAGCACCTCCCCCCGCCCCTCTGCCGTCGAAAGCGGCGATGCTGCTGCTGCTGCTGCCGTCGAACGCCTCGCGGACGCCGTCGAAGTCGACCTCGAAGACCTCAGCCGCCTGCTGCTGCTTGTTGTCCGCGGAGGGACCCACCACCGACATCGTGGGCGCGCCAGGCGCTGCTGGGCGGAGACAGCAAATTGTTGGCGAGAGAAAGGGGGCGTGTGGTCATGGGGGGTAGTGCTGGGGGGTTAGGCGAGAAAATGGCGTGGCATGTCTATTTAGCAGCGGCCGGCGCCACCGTCAAGAGGACTTTCTTGCTGAGTGTGGACCGCTTGTTCGGATGACACGCTCCCACTGCTGTAGGGAAAACACGGAGGCAGAGATGAAAGACACCACACAAAATACGCTGGTACGGAAGGAATGTACAGGGCGTCAACCGGCAAATCTTTTTTTGGTGCGAAAGAAGGACGGCAAACCAAACGCAGCAGCACGTGCTAGTGTACCATATATGGGCCGTGAACCATCGACAAGCTGCTCGCAGAAAGGCTCAGCTTTATATCAATCAAGAGTTGTTGTGTCAGTAGCTCTACGCGAGCCTGGCAAGTCGGGGGGTTGCCGCACGGCTGACGAGGCACACTTCTCCAAAACTATCCACTCAGTAGCAGCCAATCGTCCCGTTGGGTGCAGAAAATGTGAACTTTGCTGCTTCAGGCCGACAGTTGGAAAGCAGGCAGGTGGTGGGAAGACGAAATCGCCCGGATCCGCATCTTCAGAGAGGTTGTAGACGGTGGAAAATGTGTCTCTTCAGCTGTTCGAGAAAAAACTCCAATCCCAAAGCCGATATCAATCGCCGGCATGTAGTACATGCGGCCGGAAACCTGGCACAGAGAGTTTATGTATTGGCACCCCTCCCGTCGGTCTAGACTCCTCTCCGTGAACAGAGCTGACTGCTGCTGAATAAGAGTGGACTGCTGCTGAATATCGACGTTGAATTCGGACAATCCGGACTATCCGAGTGTACCATTTGTCTAGGTCTTGTTTCGAACGGGTGACATTTGTGCAGCTCGATGGCTCATTTTCATTTCAAAACAGGCAGTGGTGCGATAGCACCCCCCTTTATTACTGCGAGCTCTCTCCCACCCCCTCTCAGTCAACAGGCCCGGGAACTCACACTTGCTGCTGCTGTTGTTCAAACACGCACGGCGGCGCGGGCAGAGGAGCAGTTACATAGGAAAACATGAACAATAAAGTCCGGTCCCGATACGTTGGTTAGCTCCCTCATCATCCACCATCATAAATGACCAGTGCTTTGCAACGGCGGAGCGTGTATCCCTTCGAGGAACGTCAAGCGCCGATCCAACAGAGGAGGCCGAGAGCATGCTGCGCGTGTGCACAGGCCTGCGCAATGCGCAATGACTCATCTTGTGCTCTGCAGCCGAACTCTGAAAAACTCGCAACACACCTCGAAGTCCAAAGGCAGGAGATGGACGCATTAGCGGCGCGCCGACAAATGCGGAAGCACCGCCCACAAGTGCAGCGCACAAGGTCGTTCTCTGGCTGAACCCTTTCATGGTTTTGCAGGTTGGGTGTTGTATGATGCGTGTGTGATGATGAGCATGTCAGATTCACGCTGCTGATGAGAGGAGGGAGAGGCTCCGTGGATGTATGTACCCAGCAATGACATATACCCTCGCCATTTTCTTCGCTGCTCTGCCCGCGGCCGGTGGTTTGTGTTGTGCAAATTTGTGTTTGAATGTTTGAAAGCGCATGTGGGCATGTGGGGCATGCATGATCCATTATCTGTCCTCTGAATGCACTATGACATGCTGATATTCTCGGGGCAGATCGCGGCCTGCTACTTCACTAGCAGATTAAATCATCGAAGTTGTTCCGAAGCCCCTTAATGTACACGTACCACCCCACATGATAAACCGAGATCTCCGAAAAATGGTCTGATTTGGTGATCTCCGATAGCATCAATAGTCGCATGGAACAGCAGTGTAGTCGCTAGCCCCTTCTCTCCCTCCCTCCCTCTCTGCAGGTTGGCAGATCACTCTCACCATGCCCAACCCCTTGCAAAAGCATGGCATGTTCTCAGCAACAAGGCGTGCCCATCTTGAAGAACTGGAGATGGTCGTCGAGGAGAGAGAGGGTGCCATGAAAAAGGAGTGGGAGGAAGTCGCGGAGGGTCGGCAGAAGCTCGAACAGCTGGAAACCGAGTCGGGAATGCTGCGTTCAACCTTCGAGGACGACACGCTGACCTTGAACGTGGGTGGTTCGAACGTCGATATCAGTCGGGCGGATCTACAGAGACTGCCGGCACTGTCTGAGGCGTGGAAGCTGGCCAATCTGTTTGACAGCGACTGGGACGAGCGGCTCCCTCGAGATGCGAACGGTCTCATGGTGCTCGACGAGTCCCCCGTGTGCTTCAAGCACCTCGTCGACGCACTGGGGGGTGTCCTGCCTACTGACGAGCAGGCCTACCTCCCCTACGTCTCCAATGCCCTGGGGGTACCTAGTCCTGCTCGAGTGCCGAGACGCCGGGTGGACAGCGAGGGAAGCGCGATGCTGGGCATCGGGGGTGAGCTAGACCGACTGGCGCGTACGGTTTTGGACTGGTGCCCTGGCAACCCGGAAAGGCTAGACCTGCTGTACCGTGCTTCCCGCGATGGCTGGGATACCAGGCATTTCCACGCTCGGTGCGGAGATGACAGCCCTATGACTGTCACGCTGTACCGGTTAAACGACGCCAGCAATCGCAAGGGTTTGAACTGCAGTGTGCTTGGGTGCTTCTCAAGTGTCCCCTGGACCCCCCCTAGTGACGGATATACGAAGCTCAAATCCTCGCCCGGGGGATTTGTGTTCATCCTTACTGATGGGTCACGCTCTTTCCGTCCGACAAAGTTGAAAGTACACCCGCACTATGCTAAGAGAGGATGTGGTCTGGTGGTTCTTGGTGAAGGCAGTATGCCGTCCTTCCATGTTGACTTGGAGGTGTTCCACGGAAAAGAACGCCATCGAAGTTGTACTTCAGGCACAAACGCGAAGTATCGCCTTTGGACTGACAGCGGCGCGTTCTATGTGCCCGAGGGATGTTCATTCCTCAAATACGATGGGATCGACGTGGCGGAAATTGAGGTTTATCGCGTGTGGTCGGCGGAGGAGGAGCGTAGCGACGACATTCATCGGTTCGGTGGCTCAATTGCCGCGTCGTTCGAAGAGGAGCATAAAGCGCTGCATAAAGCTCAAAGCAAGCTTGTTGAGGCCACTGAGAAGGGTGCAGCATCCGCAAGCGCCTTGGCCGCCGTGTACGGGCCAGGTGTGGCTTCGAACAGCAGAGATCCTGTGGTGGACTTCAGCGTGCGTGGGTCGAGAACAACCACCAGGATCACCACCCTGCGCTCTACCCTGCAGCTCTGCCCATACCTTGTCGCCCGACTGGACCAGTCGAAATGGACCGAGAACAAGGACAAACACGGGCGGTGGCTAATCAAAGATTGCAGCCCGGCTGTATTCTCCAAGGTGCTCGACGTACTGCGAATGAAGAAACGTGCAGGGTGGATTGGCGGGGAAGTTAAGGCACACGTTGTCGTCAAGGCCACCGATCGCGAGGCCTTCGAGCAGGCTGTAGGCATGTACTTTCCGGGGTGCGAGAGGGTCATCTTGGACCATGTCGAGTTTCTCGGCGAGTCTGGAGCTGCCTGTTCAAGCACGGGCGCGAATACCGCAAGTCAGAGGTGAGCCTGCTCCGTTTGTCCTTTCGGCTCTGCATGTGTTGCACAGGGGAAACGATTTCCCTGTCATGAACAGCCACCAGATACCTGGCCGCTTTGCAATGCGACAGCCACGGTTGACAGGGGAACAAAATGCGACGATGTCCGTTGTAGACCATTGATTTGATACTATTGTCTAGACAAAGTGTAGCTGCCTGCGGAGAATAGACCGAAGCGAGCATGTTACGAAAATATTGAAGGCTTCTCTGAACAGGATCCGAACGTACATGCCGATGTATTCATGGCAACCCTTTGTGCGTGTGGCGAAGGGTTTTGTCCGTGTAGCGAAGGGTGTCTGTTTCAGAGGAACACTCAATGCTAGAGCGTCACAAGGCCGCGACGAGACATGCTCCTTGGACGAGATTCCATCTTCGGCACGCGTGGCAGCCTACTATCGACAATCTTCGACGTATTATTATGGATATGGTTGACAAGAACAACAAGAAATGCTCAGAAATAGTAACGCGAACCCGATGCAGTACTCGTGATCAATGCACAATGAGCCGAAGACGGAACACAGAAAGCGGCCTGAAAAACAACCACGTGTATTTTGCTCTTTCCCCCATGGTTCAATCGGTGAAGCCAAGATGTAGCCGTTGAACGGCTAAAACACATTTCCGTGGTCAATCGCTGTGACATCCGTTCTTCGATGTTCGTTGTGGGGTTGTTTGGTTGTTTGGTTGTCCATTGGCACGCATCACATGTTCTCCTGGAGTCGACATCCTCGTCAAGTTCTGAACTCCCTCTTCGTCATGAGCACACGAGGATAAGACTGTCCGCAGCATGTCCACACACATACCAACGTGCCACCACCCTGGGAAGAGCTACAGATAGCGCCCGCACTTAAGAACTTGTAGTTTTGGCCGGGGATATGAGTTCCTCTTGTAGACTAATACTGACAACCATACGGTTTTTAGTGTAGGGGTTCTTAGCCGGGTTCAAAATGGTTCTGAAATTTCTCATGGCTTGATGTTATGTTGAGCATGAAGTTTTTCTCGGCCAAGTTCTGAAGTGCGGGCGCGGTGTGTACCACAAAATGCAAGTGCCATCGCGACGTCAACGTCAACAAGAACTATTCACCTGGCCAGCTACGCACGTTTACAACATAGTTTGGGCTACTACACGGTACTGGTCGCTGGAAAGATGCCGAATTTTTCGACAGGCGACACGCAAGCAGATGTCTCCACTTTGTCTTCTCCTTCCACTCGTCGTTCCCGCCGTGTTTCGATGCCATGTTTGACTCTCCCGTTCGCACGCAGATCTGGAGACAGTTCTAGGAAACGTCATCGACGGCACTAGGTTTTTTCGTTGTGCGATTACGCATCTGGGCTCTCCTGAGTAGACATCGATGTCTGTGTGGGACGGGGGGGTGGTGATGGTGGGACTGCTCAATTGGGAGATTGGTGCACATCCATCTATTTCTCGGACAGGGACAATTAGTGGGTGAGGATGTCTGGTGTTTGTGTCCGTCCTATGCTTTCCTCCGACAGCTCTGGCTGTAGCACTTGCAGGTTTCGCTGGAGAGCTAAGTATTCGCTCATGCAACAGGTGGAGGTGAATCACTTTCACCGTGTAGTCCGTTAGGGACCGATTGCAGTTTGCTGGTGAATGGAGTGGTGCTGATGGTTGGAAAGTTGAGATATCGTTCGGGTCGGTGATGCTTTGTTATTTTCGTTCATCACCGTAAATCAGCGCCCACAGCAAATCTGCAGTGTATGCAGGAGCCCCAGTCTGTGATCTCACAGAAGGGTCCCTCCCCCTGAGACCTCCTATTCACCCCTACTGCGGTGCTTGCCTTCGATTTTTAACGCGATAAGAGTGCGGCACTCTCTTCCCTTATTGTGGACACACGGACTCAATAGCGCTTTCCAAAACCAGGAACGGAAGGGAGAGAAACCTTACTCTGCAAGCTTACGCCCGGATTCGAACCCCTGGCCTGTTCACTAGAAGGTTGCGAGGATACCAACCAGACTACAGGGACAACCGGCTCATTGGAATCGTAAGATCCCATCAGGGTGTGAAACCGTAGCTCGATGTTAGCAATAAAGCATCCCCCACGACAGAGCAGCGAGAGATATGTTTGGATGCCTTTACACAGCAGTGCTGTCTGAAGAGGTCACGACGGTCGTGAACATTAACGTACCCGGATCACCCTGTTATCGGATCGGGAACCCCGTGGTTGGTCTACAGCGACAATCGGAGAGCAGCGCGGATCTTGAAACTTGAGAACTCGAGACCATTGTAGAATCCGAGGTTTGGGTGGCCCTACGGAATATACCTGTGTCGATATGGTGGTGATATTTTGGCAAGCGAGTCACTTGACAGCAAGACGTACCATTATAGGCTCTGCAGCAGACAACCTTGCCAAAGATGCTGGTTTGTCTAAGAAAAGAGTTCACTGCTCTGGCGCCTGCTTGTGTCCGTACTTCTTCACACGATCCATCTATGCCGGTGCCCTTGTTTTCATTTTTCCTGCTGGTTGAACCTGGCCGCTTACATGGCAACTTGTCCCATAATCAGCACGTTCGAACCCCCGTTCGAAGGCTTCTCCGGGAGCCACTAACTTCCCTTCCTGCAGCCTCGGTGGATATTTCACGTCGTCTTACTCACGTGCGGTTTATTGCAGGGCTTGGTTTTTGGCCGCTTTCGAGCCTGAGCATGATCGGTTTTGATGCAGGAGTAGTAGCACACGCGGAACACACTAACGGCTACCCGGTATATTGCTGACGTATAGATTTGAAATGATCATGACTGCCTAATTAGGTTGCTGCTCAATACATGGCGAAAGAAGCCGACAGCGGCGCTGGCATGTCCTCTGTAGAAAGCTAAAAAATACACATCCGAAACCTTTACTTCAAGTATGACATGCTGAAAACTCACAGAGTGTACCATCAACAGTACATGCACCGTAGACGCAAGCCTACAGAAGGATTCATTCACACGTTTGTTATTGGATACGGATACTGGTGCAGATTTGGGCAATAAGGGCGCTTGCGCGACCTTGAGGGTAGCATCACCTTTTATTTTTTAATGTGAAGACAACAACAGCAACAGCAACAACAACAACAACAACACCCACATGAACCCCGTCCATCATCAGCTGGGATGCTGCGATCTCTCCAAAATGAAAATGCGGCGAGATATCTGCCGATTCGGGAGAAACTGACAGTCCCGGGCCCGAGCACAAGAGGACGACAGGAGGACTTTACACAGCAATGTAGACCCACAGCTCTCTCTCTCTCTCTCTCTCTCTCTCTCTCTCTCTCTCTCTCTCTCTCTCTCTCTCTCTCTCTCTCTCTCTCTCTCTCTCTCCCCGTGGCTTGGCTTAGCTGGTGTGGTTAATGTGTATGGTGAAATGCAGGCAGTTTGCTATGGGAGAAGCTGCTCCCCTTCGCTCTACATCAGCACGCATGTCGTGAAAAATCAGAAGCGTTCAGGTTTTGTCACACGTTGTGTCAGCGATCAAGCCATCTATACCTGAGCAAGAAATACTTCGCTGCTTGACGCTATGGAAGAGTACCGTCCAGAAGTCAGGGTCCATCCTCCTGGGCATGAGGAAGTGATTCGAGAGCTCGACCGAGACACGAAGCACGTCGGCCGGCCGACGCGATCTCCACGACGGCCGACGTGGATAGCAGATCCTTTCCATTTCCCTTCCGATGCCAGGTGTGTGACGAAGGCCCCCACGTATCGATTTCCGAGCACAGCAGTGGTGGTTACACATCACGGTTTAACCAGGGCAACGGTCCTCGCTATTGAATCCTCAATAATGGGAGTCGTAATTTTACTTGTCATTATCAACCATATGCGACTGTATGTGATGTTGTTGATGTGGGATGGCTGCCATTGTTGTTGCCCCCACATGAAAGAAATTTCCTTACCTTTACCAACCTCTACCACGTACGTCCATCTCTGTACAATTCATTGGAAAGAAACCAAGACAACTAGCATTGCCCGCCAGAGCCAGCAGTCCTCATCAAGGGACATGTGATGAGGAACGTGAATTTTCAGTGAAGTTTCGGCGGATTCTGCGGGATACGCGAACTGTTAGGAAACCTACATGTAGACTATGCAGGCTAGCCATTACTCCAGAAGCGAGTTAAGCTACTTGAGAGCCAGAGAGTTCCCCTCCACTTTTTTGTGAAAAAAACGACATGGAGCTACATGGATTTACCGGGGCGCGTGAAAAAACTGTCTACCTAGGACGGAGCAAGCGATTTGGCAAGATGTAGAATCAAGATATCCTTCCTCGCATCTTCAGGGCGCGGAAGGGGGTTGGTTGACCTGCGTTCCCAGGGGCACAGAGTTGCGAGTCACTCGATGTGCCCGACGTCTCAAGATAGTAGGCCTTCCCAATTCTCACCGAACGACAACCGTGGGTTCACCAGCAACTTCAAGTCAGGGATGTTCGTGTACCGATATCAACGATACAAAGGCGAGGGAACCTGCTACAACGTCAATGCTCCCTATGACATGGGTATACCGAAGTTAGGCAAGTGCCCCTGCAGAATGTGGGGAGATCAGATCTGCAATTCAAATAACATTGGATGTATACTTAAGAGCAGGCGATCCGCGAGCGAACTCCTCGCAAGGGCGAACAAGCCACAGACGGAGACCTACAAACAAGGCAGGGTGACACCAACACAGATTGAAAAAAACGAGATTCGAACCCCAAACTGCTTTTGTCATGGGTCTCCCGCCCCTCCGCTCCACCGTTCTTGTCGCCCTCTGAAGCAACTTCAAAGACCTCATTGACAGGGTACAGTCCGCCTGTCTCCCCTTTGGTTCGGTCACGGTGACATGAACCTCCCCGCCCCCCCACTAGAACCGCTGGGTCATGGCATACCGGCGTTCTTGCTCGCAGCAGGTATCCAGACGAGCCTGTCGGAGATCGATGGGCGGGGAAAGCCTTTGGCAGCATCCAAGCTAGATTACTGTCCAGTACCACCGGTGTTTCGTCCACCACCCGGCACCCCTTTGCCCCCGCTCTCTTACGCGCTTCCCGAATGACAGCCTTGCCAGGAGCCATTCGACTCTCAGGCTAGACCACCGCGAACGAACGCAAGAGACTCGCGCAACTCTCACTCGCGCGCTGCCGTATTCTTTCCATGTTGCTGGGCTTCTGCTGGTGGGAAACGACCGTCGCTTCTGGCAGGAAATGGTTAGAGCAGGGCGAGCGAGCCGACCTCGTTGAGGCGTGCCGGCAAGTCGACCCAGGGCAGACGGGGAGGATATCTATATCGGCGATGGGCAAGGTGTTGGGTGCTGTGGGCTCCGAGGTGAGCCCCTTTCCACTTTCGCGAACAACCCTCAACGCGTGATGCGATGACCTCCGATGATCCCTCACTGGCTCGCGTTTTCTAAGCACAATCAATGAACAGCACGGGCGACAAGTCTGCAGCGACCCACGTATGCCGTAGCCTAGAAGCACGGTCCACCCCGCTAACGTTCGCGCGGAAACCCCCGCCTGGCCAACCAACGACCGTGGCTCTGTGGGCATTTCCTCAGAGTCTGGTGGCGAGGGCGGAGCGCACCCTTGCTCGAGAGAGGGAACCGAGCCGATTCGGAGACGGAGACGAGACGGTGGCGTTCTCGTCCCTTGTGGGCCTCGTAGCCGAAAGGTGTGTGTGTGTATGTGTTGACGTGCAGGTGCGTATGTGCCAACCCACGGGCATGACTGTGTAGACCAGACTAGTCTCATGGCACCCGAAACGAGGTACGACATGCCGGTAAAAGGGTACTCATGTTGTGAGCCTTCGAGCCACGATTCTCTGCAGGTGGGAAGACGTCTGCCTTGACTTGGGTACCAACGGCGACGAAAAAAAACTGTACGGTTGCGTGTGTTCTAAAGGCTGTTTTATATCACCCTGTGGTTGACGTTGGTGGACCAAGAGGAGAATCTCGCAGCCGAGAGATGTAGGAACGGTAAATATTTTGCGTCTGCCGACAGAGGTGCGATTTTGAGAGGTGGGATAGGGTAGTGTCTGCGTTCGTTGTCCCGTCCACCCATAGATGGGATGATGCGTACGTGTTTTCCGTCGAGTTGTTTATCACTGCTGCCTATGACAACGACTTCATTACTTGCGGGGAAAAAACGAAGTCCCTTGGAGGGGGTCAAATTTGAAGCAACTGGATGGCACCCAGCATTCCAAACACACCTCGGGAAATCCTTGGCCATAGGCTCGCACCATGGCGTTGTCACGCATGCCCTTCCCAACGCCCAAGACGTCATGGCACAAATAATAGAGGGCAAGAAAAGGGTTATACTCGGTCCAAGCCAATGTATCGTAGTATTCTCTTTCTTTCAAACTGAAATCGTATGCTGCTCAGATCCAGGAGCCATCTTATCGACAGCCAAAGTCGACAGTGAACGACACATTACATCAAAACGTTCATGTGTGCCGTGCATGTGAATGCCTCTTGCAGAAGAATGTGAGTCGTACACGGAGCGAGGCGTTGACGTAGGCAACAGCTTCATGACGGTTGTTTATTCATCTCTGGTCCTCGACTCGAACGCTTCCCTCGTCGCGCCACCTGCGCCCTCGACCATACACAACGGCAGTTACCGCCTCTTCCTGCACGTATAGATACAACGGGCACCAGGGGGGTGAAGCTGATGACTGGTAAAGATGACCGATGCCGTCCGTCATCACAATCAGAACATAATTGTTCCGACACGAAACATACGCAAAGCCCCGCCGTTTCTCTCTCCGGATTCCCCCAAATACACCTCTGCGAAAACCGACCAACAGCTTCCGACTCGTGAGGCAACCTTTCGGTGGCAAGCGGTGCATCGTTAGCCGCTTGCCACTGCCCCCCTGCTGCGAAAACGGGTACTGCATGGCACACCTGGAGAAGCCCTCTAGCGCCGCGCTCTCCGGCGGGGGAGGCGTGTCGGACGAGAACCTGAAAAGGACCGCGCTCAAGATTATCTTCGCGCAGCACGACACGGACGGATCCGGTACTTCCACAGTTGTTGCTGGACATGTTGTGGTGTGCTGCTTGGAGTTATGTTTTTTCTCACGGGAGACAAATAAGAAGGTTATTTGCCCTGTATTGATGTGCGCGCGCAAGCCTCTCGGTCGTCGGAAACCGTCCTCAAATGTAGGCGAACAACGACAATATCAACGACAACATCAACAACAGCAACAACAATGACAACAGCAACAACCACGTCTACCACGAAATGCCGACCGACTGAACCGGGACAGGAGCATTGGAGACGGAGGAACTGCCCAAGATCCTGGCGGAGTTTGACGTTGAGTACGACGAAAAACGCCTGCCAGACATGTTCGCCATCTACGACGTGGACGAGTGAGTACCTATTCCGTGTCTTTGATGTTGGGGTCGGGTTTGAACGAGTTTCCTTTTGGGCGATATTGGCGGGGTGATAGGCAGAGGGGCGCAAACAAGCAGAAATCATCGTTGTTGGTGGTGATTTTCTCGTTGGCGGTGTGGGCGGTAAATTCGTTCGATCTTGAGGGATTCGTGTCACCGTTGTTAAAGGGTGTGGGTGAGCAATGCCTAATTCCCTTCTATTCTTCAGGTTTTCTGTGGAGCTTGTCTAGGCTTGAGCTTTCACGCATCAGCTGATTTGAGCTCTTTCGTCGGGCGCAAGACCAGCATGCACGCCAGCAACAAAACCCACACCGCCTGCTTCCCCGCAGCTCTGGCGCCCTGGACTTCGAGGAGTTCAGCGCCTTGCTGAAGGACATGAATGCCGACAAAGCGGTGGCGGAGAAGAAGATGAATGCCTACCGCCTGCCCCCCGCCCTCCTGAAGGAGTTCAGCCCGGAGGCCATCGAGGAGATGAGGGTGACGTTCGCCCTTTTCGACGAGTCCGGGGACGGCGCGCTCGACGAGGAGGAGCTGGGAGCCCTGCTGAGGACGTTCGGGCAAGAGCCCACCAAGGACAAGGTGCTGGATATATACGAAGGATACATTATACGAAGAATACCATATACGAAATATATATTGTACGAAGTATATATTACAAGTATGGGGTTGTTGTGGGTTTGTGGTGATCCTTGCGACTATTTGCTACGGTTACCGTTCGAACCCACCGAGTTGAGCTCGGGAAGGTGGCGCTCGGACGGTACAGTATTGTTGGGTTCGGGCAAGACGAAGGGCTCGCGAAAAGCGAAACGATACGATAAGGCTGGGATCGCTACTTTTCTCCCCGATTTGACGTTGCCAACTCTGAAACGCTTGGGGCGTGCTAGCAAGGGAACGTAGGCGTCTGTGGCAGCAGGTGCGTTGCAATGCTAGGAACAGGCAACGAAGAGTCAGGGCACGCCGAGGAGCCGTCGGTAAGAACCCCACGAACGAGGGATTTCGTTAAATTGGCGGTAACCATGTTACGGACAATTTTTCTTGTAAAACGTGCGATACCGCCGTAAATGAGTCGTTCGGAGGAAGATCTACGCAATTTAGGTCATTAGCGCAGGACTGTGTGTGGTGCCTCGGTCGAAGAGGGGCCGGAAGCCTTGCTCACGACTTTGGTGAAAGAGCCCTGCCGAGAAAAAGGGTGGTACGCAACAAGGGCCTTTTTGAACAGGCTACATGAGTATCCATCGCTTCCACTCACTCGCTAAACAGTTTCCAATTATCCTATCCTGCAACGCTGGAACCCGGGCTTTGGCTTCGGAAGGGTTTGGGAAATTCTAAGAAACGTGGAGGCTAGAAGGAGCCCAATAGACAGGGTGGCTTCCAACTTGGGGGACTAATACTGCAAGTCGCGGGTTCCAGTAAATAACGTTGGAAGAGTTGGAAAGGGAGGCGTGGCCTATACAGAAAAACCGCCTAAAGCCCAGTGTTCTCATGCCCATCTCGCTCATGTCGTGAACATAGAATGCAAGGAAGGGTACGGAAGGAAAAGACACCTTTGGCAGATGACTTGTGCGTTGCGATAGATTGCTGGGGGTGCTCGATCAGGATATTGAGACAAAGATGCCGATGATGGCACCGAGCATGCATGTGACTGAGGGAGCAGCGATGGTTGCGTAAGGTCCTGTTGTGGCGTCTACTTGGAACGATGGTGCCAGTAACGGAAGGCTATAGTGTTGGTCGCAGTTCACTTCCAACGAGCTTTGCACGGCATTCTAGGCGAAGAGAAGGAAGAGCTGGGGGGCTTTTCCGACCAAAACGATTAGCTCATTGTAAGCTTGTGCTCGTCGTAACATATTATTTTCCCGATGAATTGTTGGAGGGGGGCTTCGGACGTCGCGACCGCGAAAGCACCAACGCGACCACACTCTCTATCCGAAATCTCTTGTCGCTCTTCCTTGTTTATGCAGTCGTTGTTCCCCGCCAAATCCACTCACTCCACGGCAAGGAGTTCCGGGAACTTGACGTTACACCCCGGACGCGGAACGAACAGATCAGCCTCTTCGCTGCCACAGTTTTGTCTCAACAAATGACACCACAACTTTTGTTTTCGTTCGTGTTCTTCTTGCCAGATCCACAAAGAGATGCTGGAGATTGACTACGATCGGTCCGGGACGATCGAGTTCAAGGAGTTTGTCACCCTCATGAAGAAGGTAAGCTGAAAGAACCTATAGCTCAAGAGAGGATAAAATTAAAGTGAAAGAAAAAACCTCTAGAAAAAACATTGTAGGTAACCACCGTTGCTTTGTCGCCAGTGTCATGTGGTTAGAATCTCCTCGAGTATTGAGGAGGGGAACCCCCGTGGCATCGTACGGCCTGGGTCGTGACCAAGGATTAGACTTCGGACGCGAGCTTCTCCGAGAAACAATAACACCTAGAGAGGCACTACATCCGGGTGTTCCCAATACCCTCTACGAAAACCAAATAAGCTTGCTCTGATCTAAAATGTGATTCTAGTGAAATGCATCTGCCCGTGCATTTTGCCGAACTCGAGATAACTAGAGCAGACGCTTCTAGCTGTTGTATGTCGTTCTATATTGCGTGTTTTTGTCGACACGTCTCGCGAAAAGTAAGCATGCTTGGCAACCCACAAACAAGCCTTGAACGAGATATCACGTCGCGCTCGAATGGCTTCATCAAGGTCCTTCCTTCTGATGCTGAAGTAGTCGTAAGATTCCCATTGTCGGAGCTCGGGGACAACGGCGATTCGCCTTCGATTCCACGAAACACACTCATCATAACGGTAAATAGTACCGTTTTTCTCCCATATGACACGCACGGACGCGCTCTCTTGTTGATACATTGACCAGTTCCCCCATGCTACAGTGCCGGGAGGGTCAAGCATGGCAGCGGTGGCACATAGTCTACACTACCAACTCTCTCTCGAACCCTTCTTCCTCGCTACCCGTCCCGTCTCTCACCCCACAGGTTCGGGACGGAGAGGTTGAGCTCGACGACAGCGCCTTCGGCCGAGCGATCATGAACTCGACCGTGGCATCGCGCCTCAGCGAGGAGCTGCGCAGATTGGACGCCAACCCCATCCCCTGCCTACAGTCGGCAAAGGTGCGTTTGCATTAACATCGCTGCAATAGCAACTTGTGTTGTGTTGGTCTTGTGAAGTTCCGTCGTAAAAGACAGACGATAGTCAATTTGATGAGTGTTTTGGGTTAAGGGCGCGTGACCAAGCTATAACACCAACAGGTAGGCGTGTTGTGGATTAGCTGCTCATCCCAACCGTTGCTGCCGTGGCTCGCAATCCTACTTGCAACAAACCCGCGGATTCATTCGCGCTCGTAGACAGCAAAACCTTGACGGCGAAAAGGCAGCTTAATGTCCACAGAGAAGGAAAGGAGATGTTGTGAACACGAGCCTCGCGTGGAACACTACCGGGATGTCTCCTCTATGCAGAAGGATCTGGCCTCGCAGCCCCGTGGGATTAGTTGCAAAGCTCGTGAAAATCGCTCATGCAGAGTGTTCCCATGGTCGGCCCTACATCTATTTGCCCTCTACCGTAGATGTGAAGGTGTTATTGTGCACGATTCACCAACTCCCAAGCGCGATGGAATCTTGGTGTGGTAAAGATGGGAGGCCCGTTGGCTTTGCCCGGTGGGTCCCGCGACCCCGGTGACCCCGTCAAGAACAGGTTGATCCACACAGCAGTTCTTCCAGCACCTTAACCTCGCGACTAGCTCGTTTTGTATGATCCGCGCTCCCATGCCATGCCTTGACGTAATCGCGTCAACGGAACGAAAGCTGATCAAGTCTTCCCCGGCGACCCTCCGAGCAAAGATTGCCTGTCCCACTGGAACTCCTTACGAGGGGTGCACGTTGACAATGGAGCTCGTGGCGTCGGACGGCTACCCTTTCATGCCCCCCGTTGCCAAATTCTTGAAAAGGGTGAGTTCTTCATGGCCAAACGACTCTTGTTGTCGTCCAGATCAGCACCCGTCCCAAACATGAGCTGCCTGAGCGAAATCATTCGTGGGATGGTACGATACGGAACGCTACGGAGAATAGGTTGGTGTCAAGCTTTAGTTTGACATATGTTCCAGCTCAGCTTTTCTCTGCGATACATGGACCTTCCGCATCGGTACGCCGCTCTCGATTGAATAACACCACGGCGGGAGAGACGATATACATACGACATTTTTCGTTCTGTCTTCCGCGGTAGCGCAAATGGACCACAATTGATATCGCGTCCCTAGAGAAATGAGGTGAACAAGAACGACGTTCGAAAAGTCATCAGTCTTAGAATTTGTCTAGAGAGAAGCGCAAGTTGAAACCGGCACGGGTGCAGTAGGAGCACATGAGGCGGGTGGACTCGTTCGTCTTCTATTTTGATTACTACTTTGCGATTGGGAGGACGGACGAACGCGCAAGCGATATCGACATGATGCTCTTGCATATTTCGCCGGCGAGTCTACAAGACTACCTGGTACTTGGTTTGCGAAAATTCTGTTTTTCGCTTCACAAAGAATATATTTTTTCGTTCGTTGTGTCTGCAGGTTTTCCACCTGAACTTCAGCGTCCTCCTGGATGGCACGACCGCCGTGCGGTCCGTGTTGGACCAGTGGACAGCAGAGTGGAACGTCTCGAAGTTCTTGCGTGAGGTGAGCTGAACCAGGACCTGCAAGTATTACCAAATTCGGTCTCTTGTAGTGATGCACAGAGGTAGTGGGGGGCGTATATACTGTTCTTTTTAACTTGTGGTACATGTACCCGATGTCTGTCGAGAACCGTTCCCTCTTCTCACCATCTGCGTTTTGTGGTTTCGCGAGAGAGATATCGGCAACGACCACACCGGTATTTTTTATACATTCACAGCAACGCAACCTATTAGGGAGTACACACGACACGAGGGGTCAACCATCCCCGGTATTTTTCGTACCCGTCCCCCCCCCCGAAATGCGAAACGCTGCAGAGGAAATAAACATTTTGCAGTTCCAATGAAGATTTTAAGGATTGCGGTAGAGACGTCAAGGGTACCTGAGCGTGAGCGGCGTTTCTACGGGGAGCACAATGAGAAAGGCCTTCGTCGTCTCGAAGGAGACGCGCGGTGAATGGTTAACTATGACGAAGACGAACGAGCCAACACCCTTCCCGTCCTCCCGGTCCTCTCGAATCTCCGTTATTCCGCGTGGTAGGTCATCCGACTCCTAAGAGACCCGGATCCTTCCCTGCTACCCGATAACATCAGAAGGGGTGCTTCTAGTACTGCGGCTGCTGCAGAACAGCTTCCGGCTCCATCGAACGCCAGTTGTCGTTCCCCAAAAGTAGAAGAAAACTGCCAGGGAGGCGGCTTCGGAGAAGGAAAAGAGAAAGACCAGGGAAGCGACGAAAGACACCATGAAGGAGCGGGACGAGATTGGAGAAAGAGAGAAGGAGGGGCCGGCGTAAACGAAGGGAGATGCCATCGTAGTAGCATCGTTGAAGGCCGCCACCTCGCCGTGCCGCCGGACGGAGAAGTGCGAGGAGGCGTCGGCGGGGTGGGTCCGCAGGGCGCATTTGGTGGCGTTGCTTCTCGTGGCACCACTAACATCGCCACGGACAACAGAGGAGGAAGAGGAGGAGGTGAATGTGCACTTCCAGAGCACGAGATGTCTTCCCCGAACCGTGGAGGAAGGGGGAACGAAAGGCACGTGAGGGGCGACGATCTTCGAGAGACCAAGTGGGGAGACCTGGTGAGTGAGGGAAGATATGGATGGATCCGTACGCCAGGTGTGGTTGCTGCGTGAGAGGATACGCCGCTGGGTGATTGCGATGAAGTTGACGACAGCATGGAAGACCTACTGTACACTAATTACGACAAACGCTTTCGATTTCGCAGATGTCGGTCCGGGTGGCGAGCTTGTGGTACGACAACCGCCCTCTGTACGAGCAGACGGCGCGAAGAATCGCGGCGACGCAAGCGGACGGGAATCGGTCATGACTAAATAGGGTAACGATCGATACAAGGGGTCGAGAGCGGCAGCGGAAGGTCATCAGCAACAACACCAACGAACGCCTGCCCCGCTGTCATCATAAGCACTAGCAGCATCATCGTCAACGGTAGCTGCGCAAGCAGAAGCGGCATGCACCGCACCTTGCGCATGTCATGGCAGGGGTCAACGGGCGCAATCATGGAGAGAGGCAGCATCTGCTACTCGATTCGTTTTGACTGGCAGCTGAAATAATGCATCCTCGTCCGAATCGATAACGGCTGCGAACAGACGAATGGTCAATGGTGTACCTTGCCGAACGGTGTATTGGTCGTGCAACCTGAGACGTTGCAGTCTGCTGGTACAGCATTATCCTATTTTGGCTTAAGCTTCCACGTTATTCCATGGTCGTTGAAGCCGCTCCCGTGGACGCCGTCATGGGAAGCATGGAATCTGACATGGGCATCCACATGCTTCCACGAGATTCCACGACAGCTTTTTCCTGAAAGCTTTCATGATTTCTATCAACTATTGGACAAGTGGAAATGCCAACGCCTGGTGTGGTTGGATCCACTCCCTACTCGTTAATCTCTACGCGGGTGAAGGCCGATTTGCCGCGAAGTCTGCCGTTCACCAGGTGGTGCACACATCCAACGAACGGCGAAACAGGGACGGGCACGACGAGGAGGCCGTGGCTGTGCAGCCGCCAGTGTATTTGAACAGGACCATTGACGAGGCGACAAGAAAAACAACTTAATACGGCCCCTACTCCTTTACTACCAAACACACCAACACTGTCCTGTCGTCAAGGCTGTACCGTGCTACAATACCATTTCCCGCGTACCTATGGCTGCACATGCGTAACACACAATCTGCACACTCGCGGGCTGTTTGTTGCATAACCACCAACAGCAGCGTTGTCTGATCAACACTATAACTACGGTAATACCACATCAAACCGGAGGCATTGAAAGCAGGGCTGTTTGCCATATGTGCGCGTCGACCTTGGGCTTTCAAACCCAAGGTGATGCCGCACGTATCAGCCCCCGCGCCCCCGTCCCATAGATGCGAATATCGTATTGAACCCCGTTTGAGCAGCATGGAAGATATTTCCTTTCCATGCCGTAGGGTTGGAAGCGCAGTTGCTGACGACCGTTCCCAAAAATATTCTCCCTGCTTGATCCCGGAAACCCATCCCGGCTTTTGCAAGTTGAGGGAGATACCGCGCTGTACGCACTGCAACGCTCCGAGTTGTTGCACGACACTGAAAAAGAAGGAGAAACATCTACAAGGGTAACAGTGCTTTTGCCCTGTACTCACAAGACCGACCCACCGCAATCACTCGCTACAGTAGAACTGCTCACGCGGCCGGTCGTTTCGCCGCCTTTCACCAGTCTGACGTTGCCGAGATTCTCACGGTGATTAATTTGCCGCGACGACAAGCGAGTTCACGCGAGCGTGCAATTGGCAAGAGGTCGCCCGGACACAGCGGACAGAACGCAACAACGTGAGGAGGAGAGGCTCTGACGTCGTTCTAACCCAGCCGACGGCAACGCAACTTTGTTGTCCCTGACGTTTAGGGGCCCTTGTGGCTATTACGTCCTTCATGCACTGGAGACCGGCAGTTCTTGCTCGTCCTTGGTGCGAACGCGGTAGACGGCGAAGCACCGGAACGCCGCCACCACCGCCGCCAGCACGATGGGCACACCCCACATGATGCCCACGTAGGTAGCCCCGGCCTCGCCCCCCCAGATGACGACGCCCGAAGACCATGACAAGCACCAGACTGTTCCGAGCGCAATGCCCATGAGGCCGGCCGTGGTGTCCGACTGTCCTTCTGAATCTATCCGGCCGACTAAACCGATGCCGTAACAGATCACAAGCACGCCCAGGAGCCCTATCCCGCCGCCAACGCCGATGGACACTCCCAGGTCGCACCAGCTTGCGCCTGCACTGCTGCACGTGGACAGGCCAAGCTCTTCTCTCAAGGGGGCGGGGGTGGTAGAGGCGAGTTTGTCGCCAACAGAATCGTGGGTGACGCGAAAGGGAGTGTGGGCGGCTGGGGTTAGGGAAGCAAAAACCAACGTTGCGAGAGAGGAACAAGCACACGCATTGCATCGAATATTATCGAAACGTGTGGGGAATGAGGAAGCACCGATGGGTTGTCAAGCCATACGGTAGGCAAGTGTGTTAGGGGAGCAGGGGGGAAAGGAGCTAAAGAGGGGCGGTGCGTAGTCGGGGGAATGTATATACCCCACAAAGGAGGCCGTCGTGGAAGGTGGAGAACGGGAAGGGGATGACCCAGCAACGACTTCACGACCTCGGCGAATTTTTCGGGTGAAGTGTCGGTCCCCACAACCTGGCCGTTGTTGGTTGATGTCACGCAGAACCACCCCTTTTTGCTACCCCCAAAACTTTCGCACCTTCACACTCCCAGAAGGAACAGACTTGATCGCCGTGCCAGTTGGCCAGGCACTCGCACGACACGATCTCAAACTCGTCGCTAGCGGTCACGTTGCCGTTCCAGGCCTCGCAATAGTGGCCGGATGGTGAAGGTCGCTGGCAGCGGTAGTCTTCAAATTCCGCCCTGCCCCCCGAGCATATCTGCTTGCATGACCAGGCGTTGCAGAAGAGGCCTTCTGCAGCACCAGTGTCATCGCACTGGCACAACGTGTAGTCTGAGTTTTCTGTTATTATCATTTGCAAAGGGAGGGGTGCCGAAACGGCAGAGGGGATCCTGTCACAGTACCCTGCTGCCGTCTAAGACACGATTATTTTCAGTTATCGGGAAAGCTTGTAACTGTGGGGAATATCCTGTATGTAGATGTTTTGGTGGGAGTTCTTTGGCGATCAAATGCTAACGAACACAGTCGTTTAATGGGTTATCGCCGGGAGGGAAGTTCCAACTACACTGCCTGCCCCAGTTGGTGGAAACCGTGTTGCCGGTGACCCCAATGAAGAATCCGTTTGGGCTCATCTTGGCCTAAGGGCTACTAAAGACCGTTGCAAAAGGCCAAGTACGAAGACGTGGGCTTTCAACAAGAACATCTGTTGTTTTCGTCGAGACAAGTTCGCGCGGTGACTCATCCGTCGCTGCCAAGCCAATACTCCCACTCCTTACCTTGATCGCAGATCCAGTCCGAGCAGTAAGCACCGTTCGACGCGCTGAACTTGCACTCGCAGTCGCCCAGCTGAAAACCGCCGCCGTACGACTCGTCCGCGCTCCACCCCGTACAATACGTTGCATTCGACGCCGTGTTGTTCGGCTCGGAGTATTGGAAGTCTGTGCAGTCGTAGATCTCTCGGCTCAACGTGTGGGCCTTGGGCATTCCGCCGAGGTACTTGCCGTCGGCGGAGTAGTAGCCCGCGAGGACCTCCATGTCAGCAAGCGTCATGGGGAAGTCCGGCAGCTCGGCTCTTGCAACATCGGTGAAGATGGCCGTCGAGAACAGGACGAGGAAGAAAGGGTGGGTCTTCGGCATGGTGCAGGAGCAGCTTGGCGCAAAGAAAGCGTGTGGGTGATGATGCAGCGAACAGGCCAACCTGACGGATCGTAATTGTTTCCTGTTGGATAGTACAACACAACGGGGTGTGAGGGTGCGAGACGTACGAGTTTAAGGGGCGGACGGCTTTGTGTTAAGAATCACGATGACCACTACATACAGTAGACTACTAAATAGTCAGGCTGACTAGTAGTCTACAGGCCGAGGCCCGAGGCCGTCAATCTTTCTTTCAAGCCACGAGCACGTCCCCCCAGAGTTGCAATCCTTGTGATCAGCGCTGTCGTGCCCAGAAATTTCATCGGTACGAAAGGTTCTCCGGCACATTTTTCAAAGCCTATTTTCACAGACTCCTTCTCCTCATACATTGGGCGCAAATAAATCCATAAGGATAAAATGCTCAAAGGGGAGATTCGAACCCCGGACATCACTTTGTTTTGAGGAAACATTGCAAGTGGCCAAAGGGGAAGGTTAGGCACCGACCACAACCGGTTGGGTTGAGGAAGTTAGGAGGACGGGATCGGCTTTGAACACATTGTTCGTGCATGCTGCCAGTCCGCCGTGTCAGATGTATCTCATTGCCTACTATATATTATATACTGCTATCTGTGATACGGGATTAGCTGGACACTTGAGCGTGCAACCTGCCCACCCCAGGTTGCATGTCGGTGCCCACCCTTACCTCTTTCTACGCTATACACCTACTGTACTACAACGGCGATCTCGTGGGAATCCTGTATGCCGTACCTACCAGAGTAGCGTAGCCTAAGGGTCTAGCATATCTCACGTACGTCCTAACAATCCCAATGATATTCACGGTTGGTCGTGAAATTATCACTCCGCTACGTACCGCTGCGTCGCTGGATCATGATCGTGCCATGTGGCCTCGTGGCCTCACCTCTCACCTGTTGTTTGTTGCTGAAGGGTATGTCCTTGGCTTTGGCTACGAAGACAGTGATCTTGTGTCTCGTAAGACGCATCAGCTTGCTGAGGAATGTACATGGCGACATGCCACATGATCGCATGATGCACGCATAGAAAATTCCCAAGGCGTTGGCACTCATCACGGGATTGCGCGTTGTAAAGCATGCAACTGTTGAAGAAATTGACATGGGGGAGGCAGGTTGCCTTCTATCTTCAACCAAGACGGAACGTCTTGTGGAGAACGGCAGACTCCCGGCGTAGATTTGTGCCTCCTCTCGATTGTCCGGATATTTGGCAGTGGTAGGATCGCCTAAGACCCATGCACGCCTGTGGACCGTGGATCGTGGACCGCAGAGAGGGAGATTTCGTAGATCATGTGATACGTAGAACGTAGAATAGAATATGTATCACGGAGATTGCGGAGATTGTTTGAACGTGAGCATTTCTATATATGCCACATGAACTACACAATACATTACGTAGCATGTGCTGTCAGCCCCCCCCCCCCGCGAACACTATACTGGTAGTATTTAATGGCGTGTCGATACAGACGTTTACACACACACACGGCCGACCACTTCATGTAGACAGAAAACAATTAGATGCGTGTTGGATGAGGCATCCTGAGCAATTTTACCCCGCGCTGAGCCGCTGGAGCGTGCGGGCGCGCCTAGCGTGTGGCCAGTACTTTGCCATTGAAAGCAACTTTACGATCCGCCTGCAGGGCGGATGGGATGGTTTGTATACACACATTGTTTGGAAACTGTGACTACTTCAGAAGAAGAGGAGTGTGTGCACAAGTGATGCCCGGCAGGGGACTATTTCTGCTATTTTCCGTCAAGCAAAGTCAAGCTCCATCTTGTTGGTTGCACGCCTCTCTTCTACAGTAATGATCTTCGTCCACAAATCACAAATCGCCGGGTAGCACCACCAACATTATTGTACTTTCAATCATGTATGTTCCCTTGGCAGGGTACGCTTCGTCAACGTCGCTTCGCTTGACTCTCAACACCCATCATCACCTGTTCGGCGTACACAAGCTAGCTGTGATGTCCAGCAGTATCACCAACGAAGGAGAAGGTTTTACCGACATCCATCCGTCCTTTATTCTGTGGCGAGTGTGCCCAGCCATTTATCATTATCTCTCTCTAGCTGTCGGCGGCCCGACGCAACCTCGCTCGTGGCATGTGCGACATGCACCTTCTTATATTCATGTGTGACCTCGGAGTCAAAAACAACGACACCAGACAACAAGCTAACCAAATTTCAGCTCTCGCCTGGACTTCTCATCTTCTTTGACCTATCTCTTCTTTTTTTTCTGCGCACAGACACCATGCTGTGACACCATCCTTCTAACGCAAAGGGGGGTGGTACATCACAGCGTTGTTGTTTGCTTCCTACCTCTCTCTGCGAAATGCAGCAAGCTACCCATACACGCCACCCCCCCCCCATGCAAAAGACAACATGAACACTTACCTGCTCCAGACGTTCATTCCGACCCGCTACCACTACCACCAACAGCAGTAGCGGGTCCACGATAATGGACACATCAAAAGATGCTCTCCCCACAAACTGCGCACGTCCTTGCTCCACGAACTACGCAATTATCGGATGTCCTTGTTCTACGGCTGCGCTCGCCCGATTGGTTGCAGATTCGTCGAGAGAAGCAAAGGGAAACAACCCACGGACACATAGCACACAAGTACCCGTGTGCTTTCTTTTTCCTGCCGTCTTCTCTTGCTGTGCCCTTCTTTCTGACCAACGTATATTTTTCTACATTGATTGATGGATGGTAAGGCACCAAGACGACGATGCTATTATAGGAGAAAACCGGCTACGAGGCAGCACTCACGGATCGACGAGCACAATAAAATCAGCGCAGGATAACCCATGAGACCAAAAGAAAAAACGTACTTCAGCTACAGAACGCGCACGCAGGCAGTTCAGAAATTGGAGCCTCGAAAAAATCAAAATGTAGCAAGTTGAGCACCACTTGTGAGCCCCGTTAAGAACCCCCCCCCACTAAAACCTAGATAGCGACCATTCGTAGCATGACCCTAGGAATACGGTAAGAACCCCAACCCCGGCCAAAACTGTAAGAGAGGTTCTTACGTGTGGGCGCGTTCTGTATCGTCCTTCATCAGAAACTACCGCACGAAACCGAACAAATGAGGCAGCAGCTAGGCGAGACAGAGAGTAGACTACACACGAAACACAAACAACGGGGCGAAAACAAACATTAGAGCGCAATTTAAGCAAAAACGCAGCGGGCCGCAGAATCCGCCAGAATACACGCCAGAATGACAATCAACCGGAACAAATTCGAAGACAGCTAGGAAATCGCGAGGGAAATGTCCAAAACGGCATACCGGATAAGAAAGGACAGGCGTGAGCCACATGAATGCAAAACGGTATGCCAAGACAAAGTCAACGAAGTCCAATCTTTCGTGTGTCTGAAAACGCGACGGATTAATTGCTCATCTATCCCGGCCTCTCATGTGGGGATAGAGATGAACCCGTTGTGTTGTTTTTTTTATGAAAAAAGAAAAAAGTACTGCGCCTTTGATTCATCATCACTAGCAGCAGATGTGTTCGAGTTTCATGCAAATTAAGGCCTCGCGTAAACTATCAACACACCCAACAGATAAACCAGCATACCGCACTCGTAGCAGTCGATCGAGCCAACAATATTTTCAACCCCCACCCCTACAACCGCCGCGCTTCTAGCGGGAAAACTCGACGTGCTCCGTCACGGCGTCAAAACAAACGTCAGAGCCCATGGTAGTGCATGACATCACGGCCATGTGTGCTCGGGAGACGGAGCTCACCTACTGTACAACCGTTGTCAGCTAGCCTAACAGCTCAACGTCCAACTTCCCCTTCGTCTAGCCACTTCTGACAAGAGCCTCGAAGGCTTTCGTGGTGTGCGCTGTCGACGGATGCACTCGCGGAAACAAGCCCTTCTGCCGTTGAAGAATAAATAGGACCCCCTCCCCCCTCTTCCCTCTTGTCCCCATACAACAACATCGTGCCTGACAGACATACTGTGATTCGGACATGCCCGGCACACGCACGTTCCTGTTGTTACGACGCCGTTTTTCTGCTGCCTCGCCTACTGCCGGCAGCTGAGCTGCTGCTGCTGCTGCCTGCTGCTGCGGCGGCGGCCGCGGCGGCTGATGCGGCTGCTGATATCGATGATGATGGGCGTTGACGTATACAGACAATACGTAGCAAGCAAAAACAACCAGGCAGGCACGACGACTGCAAAAACCACGTTGGGATCAACATGAACGACGGCGGCTGAAAGATACGTGGCCATGTCTGACCAAGTTGTGACGACACCCAAGACCATCACGGGCGTGGTGGTTTGTTTCGTCTCTGCCTGCCCCGGCCAGGTGGTCGTCGAGAACAGCCACGCCGGTTCGGCCTGCTGCAACGATGCCCCCCATCACCCTCCCATGGAATGACACGAACGAGCGACAAACCGGCCTATGATGCCTCCGGTGGAGAAATAAGCCAACTCACTAAGCAGGCAACGGCGATTTCACCGCTCCCTCAAGCCCTCAAGGCAGCAGCGGTGGCGCCACAGGCGTCGCAGGCGCTGCTGCCGCCGGCGGCGCCTGCGGCGCCTGCGGGGTCGGAGTCGGGGTCGGGGCCGGGGACGCCTGCGGTGCCTGCGATGCCGGAGGTGCCTGCGATGCCGGAGGTGCCTGCGATGCCGGAGGTGCCTGCGGGGCCGGAGGTGCCTGCGGGGCCGGAGGTGCTTGCGGGGTCGGAGGTGCCTGCGGTGCTGGAGGTGCCTGCGGCGTCGGAGGTGCCTGTGGTGCCTGTGGTGCCTGCAGGGCCGGAGGTGCCTGCGGTGCTGGAGGTGCCTGCGGGGTCGGAAGTGCCTGTGGTGCCTGTGGTGCCTGCAGGGCCGGAGATGCCTGTGGTGCCGGAGGTGCCTTTGGTCCCGGAGGTCCCGGAGGTGCCTGCAGGGCCGGAGGTGCCTGTGGTCCCGGAGGTGTCGTTGGTCCCGGAGGTGCCTGCGGTGCCTGCGGGGCCGGAGGTGCCTGCGGGGCAGGGGGTGCCTGCGGGGCAGGGGGCGCCTGCGGTGCCTGCGGTGTCTGCGGTGCCTGCAGTGCCTGCAGTGAAGGGGGAGCCTGCGGCGCCTGCGGGGGCGGGGGGGCCTGCGGCGCCGGCGGTGGCGGCGTCGGCGGCGAAGGCGAATGGTGCTGCCCCGGCGGCTGGCTGTGCTGTTGGAACGGCGCCGTTGGGGCCGGGGGCAGCACGATCGGGGCTGGGGGAAGCGCCGACAGCGCGGAAGTCGTCGGCACCAAGGGCTGCGGAATAGCCGTAATCTCCATCGCCGAGGGCGGCGTCGGGTGCGCCTGCGGCGGGGGTGGCGGGGGCACCACCGGCGGGGGCACCATCTTGCTGATGTACGCCGCCGCCGCCGCCGACTGGAGCACGGCCCAGTCCATCGGGGGCTCGTTGTCCACCTCGCCGCCGCCGCCGCCACCGCCGCCGCCGGACCTCCGGCGGGACCCTCGCCCGGAACCCATCTCGCCGGAGGCCCTGCGCTTTCCCCCGGTGTGCGTGCCGCCCTGCTTGGGCTTGCCCGCCTTGCCCAGGATCACCATCCCCTCCGGCGCGTGCTTGGCACAGAACACCCGGTTGCGGGTCCCCTCGACGCCGAACGACGGGTGCTTGAGGCAGCCCGGGTGGGCGCACTTCTTGCTGATCACATCGACCATGCCGGGTTCAGCGTGCTTGCCGCAGTACTTGGCCTGTTCGCGGGGGGGGGGGGGTCTCAGTTAATGCCGTGCGTGGTCAAAAGTCTCGGCAGGCCTCGCAGGGCGCGATCGGTTGGGGGTGTTAACTGACGATGTTTGAACAAAAACATCCTACTTACTCTCGGGTTTGGTTCGTTAACTGAGGGTCGAGTACTTCCGGTAGAGAGGGGAGTGGAGGAGGCACAGGCAACGGCTCAGGCAAGGCCGAAACGGGGATAGCAGAATAATGAAGTGTGTGATGTCTTGAGCGACCTGCGTTTTTTGTGGTGTGTTATCTTCTGTTCTAGAAGCAAATAAAGCAGACTCATCTCCATCCGTGGAAGTAGCATGTTTTGTTCAGCCTGTGTGGCCACGAACACATGTTCCTTCCCGGGCGGGATGCTTCCCGGGCGGGATGGAACAGGCTAATTTACGTTGAAGATACTCCGCGTGGAGACCAGACGACTTCTGGGATGTGTGAGCACACCACCAACCACCTAACTCAACAACAGCACTGACAGCAAAACCAACAAACACAAACAGAGAAGCATTCTGTTTTAAACCGCATTGAGATTCACATCTTTTCATTGATCAGTCGGTTATCGCGGTCCATGCAAAACACGCACACATACAGCAGGTACCGGCCGTTAGCGCGCTCACGTTCTTGCGGTGCCCGTCCACCCCGAACGACCGCTTCGTGGTGCAGCCTTCGAAGATGCAGCGCTTGCTTACGATGTCCACCATGCCCTCCTGCGCGTGCTCCGCGCAAAACTCGCCGTTCTTGCTGCCCTTGCCGTCGAAGCCGAAGGTCGGGCGCTTGAAGCACCCGTGGGTCCCGCAGCTCTTGGTGGAGACGTCCACCATTCCCTCCAGAGCGTGAGGCCTGCAGAATTGCACCTACGGGTATCGTGGCGAACGAGGGAGAACAGAAAGGGAAAGGGAAAGAGAGACACAGACCGGATGAGCAAGAGTGTTGTTGCGAAAATGCTCTTTGAGTTGGTGATCACACGCCCGCGTGAAGCCTAGGTCCCACTTGAGACGGGCGATTCTGGAAGTCTACACACGTCGTGCGATGATACCACGTCCATGTTTCTTCAATGCACATACCTTACAGGAGGTCTACGCGCGTAGAAATTGGAACCAGTTTTGTTGTCGATGCGCATACTGTACCGTACGGGAAGTCTACACACGTAGTATTTGATGTACCACCAATTCATCAATTCGATGTACATGCTTACCTCCGGTCCATTTTTTTTTAGGGCAGTATACCGTTTTCAAGGTAAGTTAGCCGGTGACCACGGGAATCCATCGCGTCAAGCGGTACAGACAGATGAAGGTGCTGGGCAGAGACATCGGAACGGTTTTTACTGTGAAGGCAACAACAACAACAACAACAACAACAACAACAACAACAACAACCGTAGCAGTACACACCTTCTTGGTAAACGGCACGCCGAAGGCCGGCCTCGTGTTGCAGTTCGGGTGCTCGCACCGCTTCCCCCGGACGTTAACCATCCCGTCCTCCGCATGCTGCGCGCAGAACTGGGCGGTCCGGCTTCCCGCGAGGCCGAATGACGGCTCCTTGCCGCAACCATCCCGTGGGCACTTGGTGCGAGGCATGTCCTTTCTCTCTCTCTCTCTCTCTCTCTCTCTCTCTCTCTCTCTTCTTCGCTTCGCCTTGTATTCTCTCTGTTTGGATTGCACGCAAGTCTCTCTCTTCTTCCCTTCGGCTTGTCGTCTTCCCTCTCAAGGATCTGTTCGGAGTGCACGCAAGTTTGTGCGCGAGAGGGGGGGGAGATATCGAATGTTTTCGGTGCGTGCTTTCGCGTGGAGAAAAACGAAAAAAGAAAAATGGGGAAAACGCGTGCGACACACGCGCGGTAATCAAGAACAAATATGAGGGTAGAGCGATAGGGGGTGTTTATACGAGCTACCGGAGCTCAAGCTTGTGGGTGGGTCAGTTAACTTACTTATTCGACGCGACGGCTGGAGGGAGGAGCGAGCAAAAAAGGCGAATATTGTATCGACCTCGTGTGAGCCTGTGTGCATGGCAAAATCCTCCCTCTAGACAAGTGGATCCTGGTGTGTGTGTGTGCAACTCTGTTCGAAACAGTTAGCTAGTGGTATGCTACATGGATGGCGTGTGAAGGACCAGCGGTTGAGGCGCAGGTCCACCACCGCTGTGGAATACGATGTCGAAAAACGAACTGTCCGTGTATCTACGCTACAATCTACTTGTGAGTATGATCGTGCATCTAAAGGGCAAATTTGAAGTGCAAACAAATTTTAGAAAGGTGTACCCTTTGGGGGCAGTTGGCTTGTGACCACAGAAGTCGTCCGTGTCAGTTGGACCGGTACGGACATTAGAAAGACCGCCTTCCCGGGAAATTCAGTATTATAAGGAAATACATGTGTAGAACAGGGACGGGACTGCACTAGAAGGCACTGAGAGGGGAGAACGGAACGGTTTACTGCAGTGAAGACTAAAACAACAACTATTGAAAACAGCAGGCGTTAGGTTTCAGCAAGCCTTTTTTGTTCGGTTCAAGGAATTCTGGGCAGCGTGCAGGCAGGCTATGCCCGTTATCTAGGCCACCATCACGCCGGCCGCGTTGACGCTTAGGCCGTTCCTCCGTGCTTCGGCTGCTTCGGACATGGGATCTCGGAAGGCCAGACCGGGCATCCTTCCGGATATTCGCCCGCGGCGCATGGCTGGATTTCTTTCTCTTACTCTTTCTTTCTGTAAAAGTGTATCGGTAGATTGGAACAACACATTTTTCTTCGGCCGCGACTCGCCTCCTACAGCGGCACCAGCAGCGTCAACAACACCAGGTCTGTCTCACACAGAGCACGGGCAGAACGATGGTTCGATCCTTCTCCGCACCACGAGAGACAGGAACGAGGACAGCGCTGCCGTTGCAAATTTCGAATTTGAGGCTTTGGCTGTAATGTTGGTCCACATACGTGTGGGGACCCATTTGTTTGCTGTTGGCCGTGAGCGCGCCACAACCCGGGAAGGCAAAAAGTAAACTTCTAGAACACGCCCGGGAGTGCGGGATGGGGCACGAGCACCGCTCTCTCTGTCTCCTACGCGCGTCATGTTTGTACTGCACCGCTGGCGGCGACGCAGCTGAATCAGCCTCAAATTCGAAACTTTCTTTGCACGCACGCGCACACACACCGCTCTCCCTCTAACGGCACACACGTTTTTCGGAAGGACGGAAGGCTCATTGGTTCATTTCGTATTTTTTGACTCCCTACGGCCACTACCACGAGGCTTCTGGATCCCAACGCCCTGACATGCCTTCCCTCTCTTACCGCAGCTGGCTCTCTGATGCGCCGTGCTCCCTCCTGCGGATGTGTTTCGCGGCTGGGGTGTGTGAGGTGGTAGGGGGTTGCTGGGGCACTAATTTTTTTTGACCAGTTGTTCGGGCCCCGACCACAAATTGAGGGTTTCAGAAGAAGCTTTGATTCCGGGGATGGCATCGTATTGTCCCCTCCCTTGGGCACGCGTTTGTTGGTACGCCCCCGCGGGCAAAGAACGAAGAACATACGGATAGCGTGCACGCAACCACCGTGCGTGGAAGTAGTTGAGCCAAGCAGCGCTCAGTCGTGGAACGTGTTCCTCCATGCTCTCCCCCCTCCCAGCTGTATGTACAGTTGATTGGTATTATGTGCGTGAAAGGAGCCAGCATGAACAACGCCGTGAAGGTGTACATACCCAAAACCAAAGTAAATGAAAGTGTTTTTGTAGTTACCAGGAGGAGGACCGTTTTGTTTGGATGTGGATGTATGGGACTTGAACTTACGAAGAAGCATGTGTTTCATCATGCCAGCCACGGTCGCGAATAGATTTCTGTGTGAAGTTCTGCACCAAAAACAGCAGTTTGTTGGAAAAGATCAAGATCGTATTTTTTTTTTTTTCTTAATATGACACAACGAAACCATCTCTATCATAGAAAAGAGTCTGAGACAGATTAGCAATGGATTCATAGCGTCAGAAAGTACCTGTATGTCTACGATTTCCCAGACAGCATGTAGTTTTTTGTTTTTTTTGGAAGAAGGGGGGTGTACCGTATTATTTTATTATTTATTTATTTTGTCTTCACTTAGTATTAGCGCTCACAGCACTAGTGCCGTTTACTCCAGCCCGTGGTCACACAGAAGAGTCCCTCTTTGCCCTCCCCTCCTGCGGTACGTTGCCTTCGATTTTAATGCAAGAAGAGTTCAGCACTCTCTTCCCTCTGTGTACACACGATCTTCTAGCGCTATCCACTAGGTCAGGAGCGGAAGCGAGAGAAAACCTCACTTTGCAAGAAAAGCTCGCTTACGCCGGGATTCAAACCCCTGACCTGACCTCTAGAAGGTTTCGTGGATACCAACTACACCACCGGGGTGAGTAGCATCGCCTGAACAAAACCATTTAAGGTGTAAGTGAGTACTGTAGTGCACCACCACCATCGATACGGCCGCTGATTCACAATCATCTCATCAGCAGGACCTATAGCTAGGTGGTGGCAAAGCAAAGAGAGAACACGCGCATTGATCTCGACAACCCTTCATCTGCCATAGTCTATATATATGCGATATCTCCGACAACGAAAAACAACGACAGGCAGTTTCGCCTACATTTTGTAATGCAAGGCACACAACAATCTAACATCAACCGCACCTCTGTCAGAGTCCAGACAGATGTCAACCCGGGCCGGGCCTCGGGCATCTGTCAGTGGACCGAACTGCCCTGCGGTGAATACATTCACCGGCGCCCTTTGTCCCCGGCAGGGAACTTCCCAAACCAGAAAATGTCAGAAGTTTTTTGTACTTGAATAACAGACTGAAGCCCCCCCCCCCCAGTACTCTAGCTTACGCTCTGCTAGCACGTCGATCGATCAAGCCCGTTCGTTGGCATCGAAACACAAACCCCGACGAACTAAAATCTATGAATGAATGAACGACATCCGTTGCTCGTGGAAGCACGATCACCACCGGCGACTGAGTGGGTGCGGGCGATCGCAACTACACAGGCGCAAGAAACATCGCCGGCCTACGCACAACAACATTGCAATCACGGCAATGCAACCTTGATACATTACCACGCAAACACAGAAGAAACTGTTGCAGTCCCCCCCCCCCCCCTAGCATCAAACAAATCGGCTCGTGTACTACGGGAACCGTGAACCAAGAACATTGGGCGCTCTGCGTGGCCCCCGCGAAGCCCATCAAAACGAACCAACTTCACGACTACCAGTCGCCAGCCCCAGCACCATCGCCGCATACTTCGTATTTCAGCCCCGGCGAGCACAACCTACTGTACACGTACTGCAGCGCGGCTACTCAATAATGCACATGTTTCTGGCGTGCAACAACTACAGCAATTTGGAAATACTAAGAAGTATACTGCAAGGATCCAACGACCACAACAAACAATTGGATCCACCTCTGTGTCCCTCATCCTGTTATCAACTACAACACGGTAACACGGCAATAGATAGATGGGCTGACACCACCGATAGGCTTGAAGTCCTTTTTGTTGTCTTGCGGTGCAGACTGGACGAGGAGGGACCGTGCGTAGCACAAACAAGACTCCGTTCTCATCACGCTACCTGGACCATAACCAACCGCATCGACGAGCATGTTGGCACGAGTCTCTCTCTCCATCCTTGCTCTTTCCCACAGACAACGGCATGGATGGTCTCCGTTCGTGTGCCTCTTCAAACTTGAGCCTCCAACCCCAGTCACCAACAACCACCGCAAAAAGAAAAACGAACGGAACGGGATTCGCAAGCCTGCTAGAACTGCTGCTATGGTGCCATCGCCAGAAAAAAACAAACCAAACTACACATGCAAAACAACCATGGCAAGGTGGAAGTACGCCAAGATTTGGTGCGCAAGTATCACCGAACACGCGAGAAGGACAAAAAAAAAGAAAACACAATCCGGCGAAGCTGCACAACCAGCAAAAGAGCAAAATGCACTCCATGATTTGCCCGCATTCGGTCGTCGCTTGCGCCTCGAGTGATTGTCGACCACTCACACGAAGCCTGCGCCACTATTTGAAGGGAAAAACAAGCCACTAACTGTCCCCCAAATGTTTCAGGTCCGAAGCACTTTTCTCGGAATCTCCCTTCTCTACAAAGGCAATGCGCCTCTCCCCCCACCCCTGCCCCAGACCGAGACATATCTGTCTCCATCCGTATCCAAACCCTCTCTACTTTGATACCAGGGAGAAACCAACGCAAAGACACGCGCTACTCGACAACCCATCCATGCCCGACATGTGTGAATACAACGGGGGTGCCTCTCCCCCCCCCTGGCAAACAAGAAAAAAGCGAGACCCAACCAAACGGGAGAAAAACGAGTACACAAGGTATCATCTCCCAGGACTCAAGAAGAGTGATGTATCCCTCTGCGGCAAGCCAGGATGGCAAAAAGATGCCATCCGGCGGCCTGGTCGTGCGCCGCTCTTGCTACGCGATGAACCGACACCGCCACCACCGTTCCGCTGCTGCTGGCTT